TCATAGCACGAAATGCGCGCGAACGTTCGTGATGTGATTTCTGTACACCTATAAATTATTATAAATAGTTATAGATTTATATCATCACGTCTTACGGTTACGAAGTTATGAAATATAGAATATGCATATATAGTACCTATCCACAAAATTCGTACTGTAAATAAAAAAATATCTAAAACGATTCGTTAATTATTGCAACTGATTTACCGAGCATTCAAAATGTTGCCAACATACCTAATACAATTGAAGAAAATTCCTTTTTGAATCGTAAGATTTGTCCTATATATATATTATAGATGGTAATAAGACAATAAGTAAACACTTGCATTTACTGTTACGTTTGGTTAAAAACATGGTACAATATTTTACACGGCATTAAAAATCAAAAGGGTTCTATGAAAAAAAAAGAAACCAAAATAGGTCGTCTTCCGGAAGCGGCAAGGTCGTCGCTCAGACACGTCTACAATATTACATAGTCTGTGGAACAAATTTAGTCCCGTGAGTTGTACATCTCGGATGATGAAGAGCGGAAACGGTTGCGGCACAATATTTTACGTTTCAGGCGCCGAACAATACACAATAACACCAATCATGTTCGTCATTTATGGGGTTGAAACGGAAAGGAATATCATGGGCGAGAATCGATGTCGTCGATCATCGTCTAAATTATATAAAGCAACGTACACGAGTACAGGTATAATACCTACCTACAGTAATATATAATAATAATATTATGTTGTGTATTATTATTATGCATTTATTGACAGCCGCGTTTACGAAATAATAATTCCCATAAAAGCAGTGGCCATGTCGGTGAAAAAGACAATACACTCGTACATTTACACGTACACACGTATTCTATACAGGGTGATCTATTCAACGTGAGCACTCGCATAAGTTTAGAAAACACTGACATTTTTGCAAGTATTTCTTTTACTAAATATTATTGTAAGTTGTTAAAAACAGCATTTTTCGTAGACAATTTTATTTTTTACTACTCTTATTATTTTTATAGTATTTTCAATGACAATACATATATTATTAACTTCATATATTCCGAAGTAGAAACTATTCCGAGTGTTTCGATCCATATAAAAATCAAATTACGACAAGTTGTTTATCAGTTGAAACTTTATAAGTAAATATTTAAAGTTTATACGAGTGAAGTGGTGGACCAGCATTTTTCGGAGTGCCTTTACCGCTCCACACCACTCATCAAGAACTTTAATTACCTACATCTAATTCAAAATTCGATTTTTATACATAGAAATTCTCCGAATAATTCTTCTCTTGGAATGTGTAAAGTAATATAAGTATAGGTACTCTAGTAAAATTCTGATCTTTAAAGACTTGACATTTTGTAAAAAAAAATATATTAAAAAACGCTAATAGTTTTTGAAATAATAATTGTCTTACGTTAAATGGATCACCCGGTATAATGATTATTATTATAATTTACGGATATGCCGGAAGACGTTCGGAGAACAGGTGACCGCACTGCGACTACCAGTCCTCTCATATATTATAATACCTGACAGATATATACCTATACACACACTCACACATACCATATATATTATACCTACGTAGTATACGTGTAGGTACGTTATCGCGCGTTTAACGATATTATTTCAACCTCCCTTCCCTCTCCTGTTTATCGCAGTCAAGTCCATTTGGTCATAAATAGTATACTATACACTATACCGCTGCCACCACCACCATTAATATGAGGTATATATGTACTACGACTACGCACTATACCAGATACCTATGTACGAATATACTATAGGTACTATACTGCACACATATATATATACTGAAACTAGCTGTCGGTCCGGTTCCCACGGCCGTCGACGGTCGCCCGTCAGTATATCGGTGTGTTTATATATATACAGTATACACACACGCACACGAATCAACATGTGCGTCGGAATTATAATAATATAATATAATATAATAGACATCCCTCGGAGTAATTAACCTATCGCCCCTCTATATGCCCGCTACCTATATAGAGCGTATTATCGTCTATTATTGTACCTACGCTGTGTGTGTGTATCGTCGGCTTACACGGTATCCGGACACACACACACACACACACACGATAAAGTCGCCGGTTGACCGACCGACGACGGAAATGCAATTATACACGCGGCGCGCCGTTATCTGAGTGAAGAGCTGTGGACCGGAAACTCGGCCGCGGATCTCTCACGTTGACTCCGCACCGGAACGTGTGCCTCGTCCGCCGCCGCCACCCCCCCCCCCCCCACGCGTTAATGCCCATCGTGTAGGCGTACACGGCGAAGCGGGGGTGGACATCTGTTGTACCTGCAGGACCTATAATAAGCGAGGGTATTTCGTTAGAAATTGCGGAGGGGTGCGGGTGGAGCTGCTGCAGGGTGCTCGGCGATCGTATCGCGCAAGACCGTTACGAAATTCGCGTTTTCGAAAAAACCGTTTATTCCTAAATTACGGCAGACTAATGCACTGTATACATACATACGCTGTACAACACAACAGAAATAGGAAACACACGGTGCACACATCGTAATATAATATATTTTAATCAATACCTACCCATTCATTTAAAACATCCACATCCCTTTAAGTGCCAGCAGCTATAACTGCAGCAGTGTGGTAAAATTGGCGATGGGATGTATATTATAATATTGTTGGTTTGTAACATCAAAAAGTCATATGCAAGTCAACATTTTTTTTTCAAAATTTGTATGCCAATAAAAAATAATAATACACCATTATAACATTATACAAACGTTAAAAATGAGTTTGCTCATAAATATTTATAACGGAACAGTTATTATTAGAATTAATACTTTGGAGAGGTATTAAAGCGGCGAAAGTCGAAATCCATTTTACCATCATACCTATTACACGAATATAAATTACAAAAAAGCGAGTGGGTCGACGGACTAAAAGTCGTCTATATAAACGACTATAGGTTTATCGCATTAAATAGTATCCAAAATCGATTACAGCCGGAACAACCCTTACAAAATATGTAAACCTTCATACACACCACACATACGCTTCTCGGCCAACTCTTTCATGCGCAACGCAAACATTATACCGCACAGTCGGTCAATCCGTTTGCGACATGTATTACGTCAATGTTTACCTGGACATGGCAATCATGGGGTTGTCATAATGGCGTGTAAGTTTATACATGGGTATATAGGTACGCGTGATGTGTGATACGTGGCGCCAAAATATTACGGTTAGTGGCGAATAAAAGTTGTACCTCCGCTGTGAATAATATATATATATATACACACGATACAATATGATGTGATCTTTACCCGTTGTATTTTGCGTACCTACATTATGATATATATTTTAATAAAAGTACCTATATGCGGAGAGGGGCGAAAGAAAATGTCGTACAAAAGACGAACAAAACATAATATATATGCCACGGGCATAACAATATGTGTTTTGTTCGTCTCGGGGTCGCACAGTAGGCGGGTTGCCATATTTTGCAATTATTATTATACCCTCGCGCGGCGGAGTGGTTTTTTGGCTCGTCGTCGTCATCGCGTTACAAGAACTACTTTAATGCGTGTACATATTATTATGGTGTATAGGTACGCCATCATTAAATGTATATACCCTTTGAATCTCGCTTGCTGTGTACTAATAATAATCCGACAAAAAGTCACAGCTCTTTTATAATAATATTATATATATATTGCTACGTATATATGGGTACGTAATACACACGAAGGCGCGTAAAGTACAGTTAAAGCAAAATAATACTGAAAACGCTTTTGTCTGAAGCGGAGAAAGGACGAACCGAGAACAATAAAATAGTCAAAACATTAATTTAACTTTTAATTGAATGATTATAGTATAGAAATAAAATTACATATATTACCTAAAGACAGATATAAATATAAACAAAACATCATTAATTTTAATTGTCAAGTATTGGTAGGATTAAAACCTTCTCTCACCTACTTTTAAGTTTAAATTTAAATTTTAATATATTTACTCATATATGAACGTTACTTTGGAGAATATGTTGTTGTTTAAAAATAATGGAATTAATTATCAACTGTTTATAAAAATATTAAATGAATTTACAATACCTGTATAAACTCACACAATTAAATACATTAGTTCAATAATTACACGTCATATTGTTTACCCCACATCAAAATATAAGCGAATTTATAATTTGGTTGCATACATTACAAGTTAAAATCATAATATTGAAATGTATTAATATTATTAAATTAATAATTTACTTCGTGGAGTAGACGGGCACAAACTTGTGACTTTGCTGTCTGTTTAATTCACAATATTTTTCAACCATGGTTGACAAAGTTAATTTTAGCACCCAGTTTCATTATTAAAACGAAAGCTCGTCGGATCCATATCGTATATTACATCGGTGCCGTAGACGGGAATTTAATAAGGGGGGGGGGGGGGTTATCATAATGATTACATATTTAAAAAAAATACTTTAAAATATATTAGTAGTTTTAAACTGTTGTAAATATATTGATGTACTTTCCATTTTGTAGAGGGGGTTTGAACCACCCCCCGTATTGTATACCTCCTGTTTATGGCTCCAAATATATAGTACCCGGGAACTGATTGAGAAATTGCAAGAAATACCTACTGACACTTAAGCGTCCCGAGAATGAGCAATATCGAGTTGTAGAAGCTGCCGGTTAGGTTACGAACGACAATAATAATACCATGAATGGCGGCGTACCTATATAATTACGACGGACCTATACGCGGGGTGGGGGGCGAGGGATACGCGCGTCTTATTATCACTCGTAGTACAGCGAGTACCTACAGGTATAAAAGACATACGACTATTATTATTATTATTATTATTATTATTATTATTATTATGCGCAAGGTACGAGCGCACAACGATGATGTATATTATATATAATGCATTTCAGCTATCGCAGCGATTGTGCGACACCACAATCGCGGCGATTGTTGCACGCGTGCACAACGTGGGAACTCGCGCAACCGTGCGCCCCGTGCCATTACGTTTTGAAATAACCCAGCAGTATGGACCGGTTCGCTTTTGTCGGCGTTTTGGATCGGCGCGCGCGTAACAGGCCGAGAACGGACGATTTTTTTGAATTTCGCTCTTCCGACCCGAAGCTGACGGACACGTGAAACCCGCCGCTGGACCGTCCGGTAAACAACGCACGTCTCTTCCGATGTATATTTTTGTGCGACACCGCCGAGCCGTATTTGTACATGTTGTGGTGCCGCTCGCCAGACGGAAGCATAGGAAGTGAAGTACGATAATATTATGTCATCGACGAATAATGACTCGGAAGACGACGATCCGAGGGTACATTCGTCCGGGATGTCATCCTCGGGCCAGCCCAGACGATACGAACTTTCAAAATCCGAGTTGCGAAAGGTAACTAACACTTTAATCTACACCCATACGTTTAAAATCATACATCGCAGATGGTTTTTTGGCTAGTTATAGCAATAAATAATGGGCAATGCGTTTCTTTAAATATTATTTCATAGTAATTATATTATTTAAATTAAATTATGATAATATAGATTTTTAAATATTTACAAAATTCATTAAGAGAAACATAATTTTTTTGTTACTCCTGGGAGTATTGTCACAAGCTTGCAATTATGTTTCGACAACTATAGCTATTCAATTGTTAGAATATTGCAAATTAATTGATAGTTTATTATGCAAAAATATTTAACGATATATAATAAAAATACTTTGAACTGGGGTCGAAAAATAGACGTTTTACATTTCTTATCGTTAATTCATAGTATAATATTATTCCTTAAATTAATTATTATGCTATATATATTCGTCGATAAATAAAAAATAATAATAATAAATTTGTGATGAGGAAAATATAAATTAGACTATAAAACATTTATTACTTTATTTATTTTATTACATTTTGATAGTAAACATAGGTAGTGCCTATGATTATATAATTAATATAATAATTAGATAAGAATTTTAAATACATTGTATAAATGGTGAGATTTTACGAATGAATTTAAAATTTTTAAAATTTTTAATGAATTAAACTTGCTGAACTTTATTTACATTTTTTATTTTTATTAGATTACTAAAAATCTAAAAATTAAATTTGAAAAGAAATAATTTTTTTTTTTAATTAAAAACGGTTCAAATTAACATTTAATGTGTTACGTTAAGATTAAATTTAGTGTTTTCACTATTTTAGAACAATAAACCAATTATGGAGAAAAAAAGGAGAGCCAGAATCAATCAGTGTTTGAACGAACTGAAAACACTTATATTGGATGCGCTGAAGAAAGATGTAAGCTAATTATTGTAATTTCAATATAACATTATATGAATACATACATAATATGCAGTACGAGTAATGAAAATCACTATGATAGTATCAATTATCCTATTCCATCTAATAGCAAGAGCACTTAGATCATATTGTTTCTGTGTGTATACTCTGCAGATGGTATCAGGTATATGATTGTGGTCTGTGGATAGTAATATCATCTTAAAAAAAATCAATAATTATTAGAATCTTATTAATTGGGTGAATATTAATTTTATTTTTCATTTTGTCATTTACAATGGGTAATTTGCGTATTCTTTAAATTTATTTTGTCCTATATAGGTATCGTGTTTTTCTACCAACTTCTTATCTACTTTATTTTTATCGTCTTATAGTCATAACAAATTACGTTATTTTTATCATTTTTAATTTACAAAATATCTTGTATTTTTGTGCGTTCATAGTGTTCATACTTCATAAGACGTTGACACTGTCTCCGTTAGTAGATCGTTTTTATGAGTAAAACTTTTACTATTTATTTTCAGTAAATATTGTTTGGTATCTAAAAACAATGATTATTAATAATAAATTAATATCCATTCAAAATTCAAATGCATATTTATAATAAATAACGATTAATGGTACATTCATTTTAATCACACATGTATCAACAGCTGTATTTTAAAATATTCATACTCTGACATAAGCTAAATAAAAAAAAATGCATTTGTTGAATATGGGTAGATATATAAAACAGAAAAACACAATTGTGTAATAATATTCCATTTAAAATGTAACCACGATCTTAAAAATAAATTGTTTGATCTCAAGGATTATACGCTCACTTGATTATAATATTGTAGTAAACATTCAATTGTCGACGTTGGGTATATTGTATTGTTTCATTTGCAATGTTCTCATTTTTTTCATATATTCTTGTTATTTCTCCTGAATTTGGTATCATCGTGTAATATCGTAACGTTTTTGCTGTCAATTTGTATTCCACAATGTGACAAGTAGAAGGTTCAATTTGTTGAGGGAATGACGTGGTTAATCATTAAGAAATATAAATCTTACTGTATATAGTAAGATATGGAATACATTTATGTTTAAAGTGCATTGGTTTGTATACAGTTACGATACGTGCGACGTATATAAACATTTTTATATTGTGTAATGTTTATGAAATTAAATTTAAAAAACCAAATAAAATCATGTAACACGAGCTACGAAAACAGTTGGATAAGATAATCTCTAAAATATCACATTTTTGATACTTCAGTAGACTGTAGTGCAGATGGACGATGTTTTTTAGGCACGTAAACACGTAATATTTAATATAGAACATTTCTATATAACAAACTGCCATTTAACAAAATTTGTTGTTTGACGTCAATTTTTTTTCCATGAAACTATTTGTGGTGGAAAAGTTTTAAATAATATTTTTTAATATTTTTGTCATCGTTGATACATGTAATAAAAATGAGTTGTAGTCTAACCATGCAGTATTAGTCAGGCTCGCCGGCTACCAGGTGATTGTCGGGGGCCCTTGAATATTTTTCTTTTATTGGGGGTGGGGTGGGAATATAGTCAAATGAAAAAATATTTATACATTTCTCACTTAAGTCACAGAGTGGGACTTTCAAATTCTTTTAAAGCTATTTTTTTTAACGCATAATGCATTAAAATAAGTTCTTATACTTCCATGCACACAAGTTAAGTGTGACGAGTATTTTAAAGTTTAAAATTTTAGAAACTGAGATAAGATAAGATTGCCAATATCTGGATCCTTTATTTTGTCTATTTATGGAACAAGACATTGTTTAGCTTATTTATCTTATTTTATTAACTTACATATTATTATATCCAATACTTAATATTATAGTCTTTTAAACATTTTTTTATTTAGCTTTTAGTCAGTAACTACGACAAATATTATAGTTATAAAATAACCAGGTAAAAATAGTAATAACAAAAATAATAAAAGGTACAATTTAAACTTTTATCTAGTCGACGTTCTACATTAAGGTTATTTAAAAAAAAAAACAATAATTACATTACAGGGTTACATGCGAGGTTAGGAGGGTGTTCATTTTCAAGACTCATTGTGGATATATGTGGTTGCGACTTACGAGCGTAGTTCGTGGAGTGTGACGGGACTGCGGAGGGAGTGACGTTTCGTAAGAAGCGTGAAGGGATTTTGAAATTTCATTGTGATAGAAAAGATGAGAACTTGTTAATTTCTATGGTCTTTCAGAAATAAATTTATAAAACTACTATCTTGATTATGATTTATAATTTATTAAATGTATGTTATTTATATCCATTGAATTTATTTTCTTTTTATTCCAATGTATTAAAGGGAGTTAATTTTTTTGTAAACTTGTATGGGGAGTCAAGGCCAAATCACGAGCCAGACAGACATTGATTGTACCTATACTATTATATTATTACTTGAGAACGGAGTTATATGCATTTGCATGTAAATAAATACGGAGTTTCTGCACCATCATAAAGATTTAAAATGTAGGCGTTTCAAATCAAACTGATTTCATAAACCAAGTTTTATTTAGCATAAATTGATGAATTTTTTAAGGTTTAAGGCATATTTTGTTGTTAGAGTACATAATTTGCATATTTTATACACTTTTCATAGATAAATGAACTCATTTCTTCACGAATGTCATTTTTTCTTTACTACTAAGACGAGAATTAATATGTCGATCGACAATTAATATGAAATTATCACTGAAACATTTTCGATAACCGAAAATAATATTTCTTAGTTAATATATTTTCATAGTTTTTATTGTTATTAAAGAAAATAAATAACTAAACGTACTATCATGGTAAATATGAAGGACTTTTAGTTGACCCTGCCTTACTATTATCCTGTTATCGATGTATATTAATTTGGTACATATTTTTAAAGTTATTTTGTAATTTTTATCGTGCGAATTTGTGCCGTATTCATAGGACATTTTTGGTGCTTATAATTCCGGTCTCTTGTTATTACCCATGTGAACATGTTAAAATATGTCAGTATTGAAAATTTTATTATATGATACAATTGTAGCCAGCAAGACACACAAAGTTGGAAAAAGCGGACATCCTGGAAATGACAGTGCGGCACCTGCAGTCATTGCACCGGAATGGCAGCTCCAGCCGACCACTGGCCTCGACCGCCTGTCCGACGGCCGAACCGTTGTCGCCTTCGTCATCGACAGCGGCCTTAACTGCAGTAGTGGTTCAAAAGTTCCAGACGGGTTACCAGGAGTGCGCCGGCGAAGTGAACCGGTTCGTCGACCGGTTGGACGGGGTGGACGAAGAAATCAAGAAGAGGCTGATGTCGCACCTGGACTCGTGCGTGGCCAAAATGAGGTACGTCGCAGCGGCCGCGAGCACGGTACCTCCCCCGCCACCCCCACCGCATCCACACTTGAACCACAGTCTTTCGCTGCGCCATCGGCTCGACCATCGGCTGGACCAAGCGGCAGCAATGGCCGCGGCCGCGTCGGTCCCGATGCCAAGCGGTCGACCGGTTCTGCAGCAGTCGCTGCTCGGAGACTTGACGCCTCCGATCGTCCCACCGACCGTCCCGTTGTCCGTCCCACCTCCACCCATTCCGAAAGTCGGGCGTCTACGGACGAGCGCGTTCACGGCGGTACACGGTCAGCTCCCACCACCGGATGTCGGTCCGACGCCTTTCGTGTATTGCGACGAACCGGACGTGTCGTCGACCAGCTCGTGGGCCGAAGACATGGCCGCCGCGGCCGCATCCCTGCAGCACCCACCGCTTGATTTTTCTATGAAAAAAACGGCGGCTGGGTGCAGCAACAAGAGGCCCCTGGGCGATATATCGGTAAACGTTCCTACGGCCGCCGCGTCGTCCTCGCACAAGCATTCGGCGACGGCGGCATCAAGCGGCGACGGCCCTACGGCCGCGCGTGTCCGAAGGCCGGAAGCGGTGGCCGCCGCAGTCAGACCGTGCGACGGTCCCGATTCCGATCCGAACATGTGGAGGCCCTGGTGACGCCATCCACGATGAGTTGCAGATATATACTGCAGCTGCAGTAGGGCTGGCGGTGTTTTCGATATGACGGTAATTACCGGGTATTGTTTATAAATTCGGTATTTGGTATATACTTGGTATTTGACAAACCGGTATCTCGCTTACCGCTGTTACCGTGCCAAAGTAATTACCGAAAATAGCGTATTCGTGTCTGTCCTCGGTATGAAAGGGGCCAGTCTGTATAAATTATACATTTGGCAAATCTATACTTTGTAGTGATGGTCCGTCGTCATTCTATGTAAAGATGTAAACTGTGTAGACATATGGTGAACCATGACTTCCTAAAAAGTAAGGAACTTCTGACCTAGAACGGTTTGTATGACCAGAACCTTTTCGGCTTTTCCTATTGACATCAAAGCTACACCCGTAACACCACAGTATTAAAAAATATTTTGTGACCATTTTTTAAATAATGTTTACGAACATAATTTTCAAAATAAATATTATATTTCCCTAGGTCAGAAAGATTGTTCTAGATTTAGCTACCGTAAATACATCACGATTGCCGCGATACGTGTTTTAGGTAATTTTCGAGGTACGGTGTTTTATAAGGCGATGTTACCAAAAATTCCGTATAACCGGTATTACGGACGATACCACTAGTAAACAAATACCGGATACCGGCGGTATCAAAATATTTGAAGTACCGCTAGCCCTTAGCTGCAGTGTTGGGTATTTAGTTACCCTCGTTACATGTACGAATGCGACGTCATACAGTTCGTGTAAAGTATTTAAGTATTATTGTTGTATAATTTGTGCCTCTAACGAAGTTATATATTGGTACGTTTAATGATAGTTGATGTGACTTTTGCGAATTATTACGTTATATTGTGTACGACATAAACCAGAAATAATACGCATGTGATATCTCGTATTTAAATTTAAAAAATTTTTCATTGCCTATGTATACTGTAATTCTTGCAGAGAGATAAAAAAGACACCATCTTAGCGAGTCCGTTAATTTTTATGTTTTCTACAGCTACAGCTTCAGTGGCGGTCAAATAATTTTGCCATGGGTAGCGATGATGTTGATTTTTTAATACTCTCATCAGTCATTAAAATGATCAACTAAGAATTAAGTAGATCTCTTTATTGATTAAAAACATAAGTTCAAAAGTTAATTATTAATCCCAGGTAAAAATTAACTCAGTAAATGTGTTTCCCCACGATGAACAACCATTATAGCCAAGTCATAGATACGATTTTAAATAACAAAATAATAACTACAGAATTTATAAGTATTTAAGTTTTAAGCAAACATTTTATTTATATTTTTAATTTAACTATAAAATAAATGAGAAAAACCTAAAAATTTATACTTTATACTTAAATAAATGTTTTTGAACTGCGTTTATTTAATAATTATTTTATTAGCACACATTTTTTTTTAAATTTTAATTTAAAACACATTTTACATACGTATACAGTATTATAGTAATATTACCTCCTCCAGAGCTTCTGGTTTTATCGTCAGAAAAAAAAGATTTTCGTTGCCATAAATCATCAACAATAATTAATGTTCACTTTTTATCAGATTGTAAAAAAAAAATTTATTATTCACGTTATTTTCTCTAGAAAAATATCAATAATATTAAATTATTATAAATAATTGCCATGGGGTGGAATTACCCTTAGCTCCCCCCACCTGTTTGACCGCCCCTGAATTATACAATAACCATTAATTCGGTTATCTCTCAAAAGTAACTCACCAAACACCGTAAATATAAATATATATATATATATAAGTGTAAATTATGTTATGGTGACGTTTCTTGCGCGAAAAACTGTGTTATTAATTTTAGATCGATATATTATATGTTTACGTTTGACGATTTCGCTGGTTTCTTAATCGGCACTTGAATAGTGTTACGTATTACACACGTAATATCTTATATACTATTTATATGTTACCAAAGATTTTTATAGTTATATAATACGCTCTTCTTATTTACGACTTTCAATTAAGAGACATTGTATTTTATTATATTGTTTTATGCGCGTTTTTTCTTTCGGCACTTCTTTAATAATACCATATTATAATTTCTATGTACCTGTACCCCTTTCCTTAGATTATGTTTCGTATACTATTTTATGCTTTTCTTTCCACTTCGTTTAATGCCATGTAAAGATTTGTTTACAATTTTGTTAATATATTATACATTGTCAGACACTGTCTGTCATGAACACAACTTTAATTTGCCAAACATTATAATATTTAAAATACTAAAATCATATTTTACCATTGTTCTTTTATGTTCGTTTTATTTTTATACATGTATTTATATTATTTGTAATTATTTATAGGTGAGATGTTTTTTAAAATGGTATTTCATTTATTTTTAAACTTTTAAAAACATTATTTCTAATAACGAAATAATAATTTTGGAATTATATTAACTTGTATTGAGCAAATAATAATTTAACGCCGTTAATATTTGTATGATTTCAATGCACAAAAATAATTGAAAGGACAATAAATGAAAACAAGTCGAAAGTTTCAAAATTATTAAATTTATTTTTAATAATTATACTATAATATATAAGTAACCTATATAACATACAAATTAAATATAATATTAACATATCTATGCCAGGCAGTGTGATTATGATATTGATATAGTGAAGATGTGTCTGTAGTTTGAACTAAAAAACCAACATTTTCAGATCGTTAAATGATCAGAACCGACATCAGCAAAATAATTTGAACATAATAAGAAACAAATAAAATATATGTATAAATATTAATAATCACAGATCACGAAAAATATCTCAATCTCGCTGAAAGAATATCAAATTGCATTACTATAAAATTAAGCAGTGATATCAATAAAAACCGTAAGTATTTATAAATATATAATATGTATACATAATAAAAAATTATGGTCGTGAACCTTTTTATTATATTTTCTAAAACGGTAACTTTCCTATATTAGGTTTTGGAAATAAGTCAAACAGTTAGATTACGTTTTAATTTTTTTTCTGGCGCACTTTACGTTATTGTATAGGCAGGTATTTAAATGCTGGTAATTTATTATCCTTCCACGTTCATTGTCTGATCTCATCACGGCGGCACCGTGTCGTAGTAAAAAAAATTGATGAAGAATTCGAATTGTGCTCGAGTCAAAACAAAAAAACAAAATAAATGAAAGTTTGTAAAGCGGTTTTGTACTTAATCTTCTATGACATCCCATAGCATGAGAGCTGCGTCCGTTCCACCGACTGTCACCACGTTTCTGTCGTTATACAAAAATCTGGCACTCGATACTTGTCCACTATAAACCTTTTCTTCGTTGTATTCGGATTTGGTAAGAATACACGGATACCTGAAAATAAATAAAAATTACTCATTAAGCACGCATATCGAACCATACCAGTTCTAGTGGTGGGTTGAGACCTTAACGAAGACTTAAAATGTAATTAAAATGGACCGAGAAGATTCAGGATTGAATTGTAAGACATATGTGTACAAATGAAAATGTATAATATATTCTGGTTGTGTACCTAAATAATCTAAGATGTCCATCTGTATCTCCGGTTACGAAAAGATCATGTGCTGCTGATCTATTGGCAGTGCTTATCATTGATGAAATTGGATAATATCTGTTGTGCCAAATACCTATAACGAAACAAAAACAAAATTCATTAACAATCAAAATTGTAAAAATGTGCATAATATCTACAATGATAACTGGTGATTATTTTTATTCATTATAATATTTTCTAGAAAATATAAATTGGCTGACGACTTTAAATAAGTTTTTACCATATAAAATATGTATGCTAATTTATAAATTACATTATGTACTGTTTACAGTAATTTATATATACTATTAACAGAAATGGTGAGTTATAGAAAAGAACAAAGTATTGACTATATAGAATCAACAGGTGTTTATTTTCCTAATTTTCACTGAAAATAATCGTGACTGCTTGTAAAAAAATTAAGCAATACAATTTTTAGTACAATAGAAATGATTAATGTACCTCGACTGACATGTCTTACATTGAATGACTTCGGGTACAGTTATTTCAAATGAAAAATAAATGTTTGATTGTTATTAAATACAAAATTATTAATATTAAGTAATATTTAAATGGCTTACTTCGTATAAAAAAAGTTTAAAAACATAAAAAAATTAAATCAACATTTATAGAGACACAATTGAAATTATAAAATCTTTATTTTCGAGGAAATTAATATTATAAATTTACAGGCAGTTTTATACAAAATTACACATTATAACCAATAGAGAAGTTGTTTTTTGAGTTAAATACGCTTATACGCTTTATTAAGTCCATATAAAATGTATTTTTCATTATTTAAATAAGTTTTTGGTAAATGGTTTAAAAAAAAATTATCCAACACTGTTATAGACTATAGTAAATAACTAAATTTATTTAAAAAAAAAATTATTTACCAGAAACTAAGTAGCCTATGGTTGCGTTATATGTATACCATTTGACGTCCTTCATTGCAGGTGCACTTTTTTCTTGTATCAATCCTTTGACGTCCCCTAAATTAGTTGAACATTTTTAAATAAAATACAGAATACTAAATATTTTCATATTTTTTGTTACGTACAAAAAACGAGGTCGTATTCGGCAGTGACTGTCTGTAGATAATTTCCATCCGTACTCCAGTCTAAATGCACCAATGGTTGGACTCCTCTAATTTTATTTGATTTTTTGAATGTGAATCCATCTCTACTTACTCGATACAGATATACGCTACCATTTTGAGAACCAACGGCTATTGTATCGCCAGCTGAAATCATTAGTGTTTAATAATATGTTAGTGTTAACTATTTTTAAATGATTAATTTAATAAAATGATAAAACATATAATTACTATCAAAACTCAATCTTAACATGCTGGTATAAATGTTTAATTATTAATTATAATATATTATTATGTACCTGGATTAAAACCCATGCACGTCAAAGCAGAACCGCACACTCTAACGCTTGACACCACAGAACCGTTTTCAGCATTTATAATAACCAAATATCCTTCGACTGAACCAGCCACAAGAGCAGTACCAAATGGATGAAAGGTAAGTGATACACATTCATATGTGATCTATATAAACATAATTTATAGCTGTTTCAAAACAATTTTTAAAATATGAAATAATATTTATTTATAGGATGATTTAACACGTTGACTACCATACGGCCGCCGGCGTCCGTATAAAAATAATTAGGTATTGATAATTTTTAGACCGCCGGCTGCCGCACCATGTCATTCAAAGGAGGCCATACGGCCGCGGGCTGCCGTAAATTAATTTGGATTTATATTATTAACTTTTCTGTGGCACTACAATAGTGATCTAGAAAATGCGCTGTGACGTAGCGGAAATAATTGCAATTTTTTGATGTAAAAAACATAATTTTATCATTTTTTTTTTGTATTTTAAATCTTTTTTCAAATTCAATAGTATAGATACAAATTTATAATAACACTGAAAAATGAACTTGGCGTACAAATAATAAATATTCTTATACCGCATGGCAGTCAACGTGTTTTAAACATTTTTTTTTAAATATACTACTTTATTTTGAATAAAATTACATTTTAAATATAAACATATGTTAAAGTATAAACCAACGTAGTAAAGAAGTAGGTTAAATTTAACCTACCATACAAATTACAAATGTTAAATAATTAGGTAA